TTGGGGAATCTCTTGGGACCTTCCCTCTCGTCCTCCTCTTCCCTCCTACCTGGTTTAGTGCTACCCTAACTCTCTTGTGTGCAACTCTTGTGAACTTGTGAAACTATTGTGAGTGAATTTAATTTCTATGTGGCAGCATACCCCCTGGTGCGCCGAGAAGCATAACTCGAGATTTACTCCACTTTTCGATACGTTTCAAATTGGGAATGATAGCCACAAACAAGGGCTATAACATACTCGAGTTTGAGACGATTCTAACGGTGCACTTTTCGTCGACAACGTTTCTTGTGAAGTCGCGGTTTCTGTCCAGAATTTCAAGCTAACGATTTTGAGAAATTTAGGCTCCTTATCTTCACAGACTCGATCCTTAGTCTCTAACAAGTGGTATCAGAGCTGATTAAGGACCTTGTGGGGAGTCTACTGAAGTGTGAAGACCCTCCTAGACCCACCATGGCCTGTGGGCGTGCCTAAGTGGAGTTCTGGAGGTTGGATGTGACTTCCGCTAAGGGGAAACTCTGCCGAAATTTCGTTGGCGCCGTCACTTGTGAAAATATTGTGGATCTACATTGTGACCAGCAAAAGGGGGAGCTGAAACCTCTGATTGGGAGCAGAGGAGATGAGTGGAGAAGCAGCTGAGAAGAAGAGTGAACCGCCACCGTCCAAGATCGAGGCTTTGGACGGCTCCAACTACGAGGAATGGAGCGGGCGGATGCGGAGCGCTTTCAAGCGCTACAAGCTGCTGAAACTTGCGATGGGAGAAGAGAAGATGCCGGAGGAAGGTGATGCCCGCGACAAATGGATTGAGAAGAGCGCGGTGCTGTACGACCTAATCCTTCAATCGGTCAACAATGATATGTTCCAGCATATCAAGGACCTAGTGGAGCTGGACGACTCCGGGCCTAAGGCGTGGAAGCTGCTACGCGATGTGGTACAACCCAACACGCTGCCCATGGTGATCGTGCTCGAGAAGGAGCTGGCGGCCATCTCCATGCGATCGGGAGACGATGTGAAACCGGTCCTTGACAAGATCAAGGACACCTATGCGAGGATGGCAGCGGCGGGCAGCAAGGTGTCGGAGATGCAGCAGTGCACCAAGATCATCTCGGTGCTCGACAACTCGTGGGACAACCTCATCCCCACCCTCAACGTTCAGCAGGACAAGTGGACGCCTGAGTGGCTACGGCAGCAGATCCTGCAGGAGGACTTCCGCAGGCGCCACACTGGAGGTGGTGCTGCCAACAAAACTGCTGAGGGGTATGGAGCTGCAGGAGGCAGCAGAGGGAGAGGGGGAGGGAGAGGCCGAGGCCGTGGGAGAGGCTTTGGCAGAGGGAGAGGCCGAGGTGACTACAATGAGGGGCATGGGAGCTCTGGTGGCAGGGGGAGTACCCGAATGGAGGGTGCGTGCTGGTACTGCAAGAAGGCTGGACACCCATGGTTCAAGTGTTTCAGCCGGCCTGAAGGATGGGCGCCTCCAGGCATGAAGCCGCCAAGTGGTGAACGTGCACGAGGTGGTGCTGTGCAAGGTTCAGGTGCACAAGGTGATGGTGCACAAGGTAAAGCCGACCCTGGTATGTTCCTTATGGTTGAGGACGTGCAAGGGAGTGGGGGTGATGTGGGTTCAGTTGGGAAGGTTGTGATGCACCCCCTCACTCACTGGGTGATCGATTCAGGTTGCACGAGTCACATGACTCCACGGGCAGATTTGCTTGATGAGGTGAAGCCCCCTGGGAAGATAAAGTTTGTGGCTGCCGCTTCAGGTGCCTTGCTCCCTGTGATTGGTGTTGGGAATGCCAAGGTTATGGGAGCTAATGGGGGGCTTGTGGGGCTGGGAAATGTGCTGTTGGTTGAAGGTTTATCCGCTAACCTCCTCTCTGTGCGCCGGCTGCAGAAAAGCAAGGCCAAAGTTACGTTCGGCCCAACCAGCTGCCGTGCAAAGCTTGGGAAGTTGCTGCTGTGGGATTTGGAGGAGAAGAGCAGCTGCATCAAGGACCTGTGGCAGCTGCCCATCATCCCTTGGAATGGGAAACCTCCAGCAACGGCAAAGGCAGCGGCAGCGGCTAAAGCAACTGCGGGAGGAGAGGAGACTGCACCAACTGCTGGGGCCCTGGATGCAGTCAAGAAGGTGCAGCAGCCACAGCAATCACATGGTGAGGTGCTTGCTGGTGTGGATGCAATGGCTGCATGGGCAAAGGCTTCTTCTGGGAGTGGTGAGGCCGATTGGGAGACGTGGCACGAGAGGTTGTGCCACATCAACATTCCGATGCTGCAGAAATTGGTGAAGGATGGGAACCTGAAGGGATTGGAGGTGAAGGGGGCAGCAAGGGAGATTGGGAGCTGCCCTACATGCCTTGAGACCAAGTTCACGAAGTTTCCCTTCAGCAGCAGCACGGGACCAGCGAAGGCTTCACTTGCACTTGTGCACATGGACGTGGTGGGCCCCACGAGGGCCCCTTCTCTCTCGGGCAGCTGCTATTTCCTAACCATTGTGGATGACCACACACGAGCGGTGTGGGTCTACCCTCTCAAGACTAAGGGGGAGGTGGCAGCGGTTGTTCTCAAGGAGTGGATGCCGAGAGCACAAAGGGAGAGCGGACACAAAGTGAAGGTGATCCGCACCGACAATGGGGGAGAGTTCATTGGCGCTGTTTTTGAGGCGGTGCTGAAGAAGAAGGGGATCCAGCATCAGCTCACGGTGCCCTACAACCCTCAGCAGAACGGCGTGGCTGAGCGGTTCAACCGGACCCTGCAGGAAGGTGCTCGCACTCTCCTTGGGCGTGCAGGGCTGCCGGATCCGTTTTGGGTGACTGCACTACGGCAAGTCGTTGTGGTGAAGAACAGGGTGCTCGCAACTGTGGGGGACAAGCAGTGGGTGCCTTACACCAAGTGGTATGGGAGTGCACCAGCAGTCAACATGCTGAGAGCCTACGGCTGCATGGTGGTGTTTCATGTGCCGAAGGAGAAGAGGGGAAAGTTGGAAGCTTCTGGAAGATGGGGTGTGCACTTGGGACTTGCGAAGGACCACAAGGGCTGGCTCATATGGGACTTGACCAGCCAGCAGCTGACTGTGTCAAGGGACGTGAAGTTTCTGGAGTCCTTGTACTACAAGGAGTGGAAGCAGCAGCAGCAGAAGCTTCCTACGACACCGCTGATCGTTGAGGCCGATGAGATGCAGCGGCCTTCGAGGCAAGTGGAGGTTGCCATCTCAGAGGAGGAGATCTCTGGGGTGACTGAGGATGGGGGAGAACCCGAGGTGGTGGAGCAGCAGCAGCAGCAGCAGCAGTAGCAGCAGCAGCAGCCGCAGCAGCAGCAGCAAGATGCTCCACGAGGTGCCGCACGTACGGCTGACCGTCCTAAGAGGGATGTGCGCCCTCCTAACCGGCTGACCTATCCGAGCTTTGGGAAGCCGAAGGTGGTACGGGCTGGGAGTGTGGCTGAGCAGTGTGATGAGGAGGAGATAGCGCACTGCTACTGGGCAGCCGTCCCTGAGCCCAAGACGCTTACCGAGGCCTTGAGTGGGCCCGATGCTGAGAAGTGGAAGCAGAGTGTGAAGGAGGAGTACGACTCACTGCTGGAGAATGAGACGTGGGAGCTGTGTGAGCTTCCTCCTGGGAAGAAGGCAATCTCTTCGAAGCTGATCTTCAGGCACAAGTATGGACCTGATGGGGAGCTGACGCGCTACAAGTCAAGGCTTGTCGCTAAGGGGTTCCAGCAGACGAAGGGGAAGGATTTTGATGAGCTCTATGCTCCTGTGGGAAAAGGCACAACACTGAGAGTGTCTTTGGCGATGGCCGCATACCGTGGATGGCGGGTAAAGCAGCTGGACATTACCACCGCCTTCCTCAATGGAGTCATTCTGGAGGAGCTGTACATGCTGCAGCCTGAGGGGTTGGATGATGGGAGCGGCAGGGTGTGCAGGCTGAAGAAGGCCATCTATGGCCTGAAGCAGGCTCCTCGTGCATGGTACCTCAAACTGGAGGAGACACTGCTGGCTGGGGGGTTCAAGAAGAGTGAGTGCGATCACAGCTTGTTCCTGCTGCAAGAGAAGGAGCAGTTTCTCATGCTCCTGGTGTATGTGGATGACATACTGCTCTTCTCTGAGTCGTCTGCAATGATTGAGCGTGTGGAGGAGATGCTGGAAATGCAGTTCAAGTGCTCCAAGATGGGAGACGTGAAGTACTACCTGGGGATGCATGTGGAGAGGGACCTTGACAAGGGAGTGTTGAGGTTGCACCAGAGGAAGTATTGTGAGGGGCTGGCCGAGAAGTATGGGCTGCGAGATGGAGGGAAGCCAGCCACCCCACTGCCTTCAGGGTTCACCGTAGAGCCCTGTGCTGATGAGGAGGTGGTGGGAGAGAGTGACAGGAAGCTGTTTCACTCCATGGTGGGGGCACTCAACTATGCGGCTAACCACACACGGCCTGACATTGCCTTTGCAACATCCAGGCTTGCCAGTGTGGTTTCACGCCCCAGTCATGAGCAGCTGGAAGCGGCCAAGAGGTTGGTCCGCTATGTGAGTGCAACGGCATCAGTGGGTTTGGAGTACAGTGCTGTGCGACAGAGGCTACAGAGGGGTGCAGCTGATTTGAGCAAGGGGGAGATGCGCTTGACTTGCTACACCGACGCTAGCTTCAACTCAGTGAAGACGGATGGCACCAGCATTGGAGGCTATGTGTGCCTCTTTGGAGGTGGTGCAGTGAGCTGGCGCAGCAAGAAGCAGAATGAGGTGGGGCTGTCCTCGTGTGAGACAGAGTACATGGCCCTTCATCATGGGGCAAAGGAGGTGGTGTGGCTGAGGCGTTTGCTAGAGGAGATTTGGGTTGGTCAAAGGGAGCCGACTGTGATTTTCTGTGACAATGAGTCGGCGGTGAAGCTTGCGAAGAATGCTTGTCTTCATGGGCTGACCAAACACATCAGGCCTAAGTGGCACTGGGTGAGAAGGCTCCTGGACAAGGAGGTGCGGCTGGAGATTGTGAAGACCCATCAGCAGGCGGCTGACATTCTCACCAAGCGCCTGGCTGAATCTGAGCATTGGAAGGGCATGAAGCTTGCTGGGATGAGTGTGCATTGAGGGTGCATGCTTGAGCTATGGCATGTGGGATGATGGTTGGCAGCCAGAGGGGGAGTTTGTTATGTGATGCTATCATTTGCATTCACGTCTGTCTGCCTCCCATCATGTGTTCGTGCGTTGCATGTGTGAAATGAGCGTGCGCAAGAATTTGTGTTTTTCTGTGGTTTGGATTTTCTGAGTGTGTGTGAATGTTGTTTGGCTTGAGCAGATATCTGAAGTGACTCCACTGCTCAAGATCTTTCCGACGAGCCAAGAATCGTCGCGATCGGAGCAATATCAAGAAAGTTACGAACGTTGGAGTTCGTATGCTTTCTGTACTTCGGTTGTGGCGACTATGGGAAGTTGTGGGGTTGACTCAATATGGGGTACAGACTTTTGGGGGTTGGGAATTCGAACCCATCACTGTAGAATGCTGCCATGTGGTTGGGTGAAGCCAAACCAGGTTGGCAAGTGTGGCCAAGTGGGTTGAGGTGGATGGCATGAGTTGGGAAAGTGACAAATGTGAAAGTGGGGTTGCCTATGGGGAAGGGAATTGTGTGGCATGGGGTTTCCTTAGTTGGGGAATCTCTTGGGACCTTCCCTCTCGTCCTCCTCTTCCCTCCTACCTGGTTTAGTGCTACCCTAACTCTCTTGTGTGCAACTCTTGTGAACTTGTGAAACTATTGTGAGTGAATTTAATTTCTATGTGGCAGCATACCCCCTGGTGCGCCGAGAAGCATAACTCGAGATTTACTCCACTTTTCGATACGTTTCAAATTGGGAATGATAGCCACAAACAAGGGCTATAACATACTCGAGTTTGAGACGATTCTAACGGTGCACTTTTCGTCGACAACGTTTCTTGTGAAGTCGCGGTTTCTGTCCAGAATTTCAAGCTAACGATTTTGAGAAATTTAGGCTCCTTATCTTCACAGACTCGATCCTTAGTCTCTAACAAACGTCCACGTCCACGTCCATGTCCACGTCCACGTCCACGTCCACGTCCACGTCTACGTCCACGTCTACGTCCACGTCCACGTCCACGTCCACGTCGACGTCCACGTCCACCTCCACGTCCACGTCCACGTCCATGTCCATGTCCACGTCCACGTCCACGTCCACGTCCACGTCCACGTCCACGTCCAAGTCCACGTCCACGTCCATGTCCACGTCCATGTCCACGTCCACGTCCACGTCCACGTCCATGTCCACGTCCACGTCCATGTCCACGTCCACGTCCACGTCCACGTCCATGTCCACGTCCACGTCCACGTCCATTTCTACGTCCACGTCCACGTCCATGTCTACGTCCACGTCCACGTCCATGTCCATGTCCACGTCCATATCCACTTCCACGTCCACGTCCACGTCCATTTCTACGTCCAAGTCCACGTCCATTTCTACGTCCACGTCCACGTCCACGCCTATGTCCACGTCCACGTCCATGTCCACGTCCATGTCCATGTCCACGTCCATGTCCACGTCCATGTCCACGTCCATGTCCACGTCCATGTCCACGTCCACGTCCACGTCCACGTCCATAACTACGTCCACGTCCACGTCCACATCCACGTCCACGTCCACGTCCATGTCCACGTCCACGTCCACGTCCACGTCCATGTCCACGTCCATGTCCACGTCCACGTCCACATCCACGTCCACGTCCACGTCCATTTCTACGTCCACGTCCACGTCCATTTCTACGTCCACGTCCACGTCCACGTCCACGTCCATGTCCACGTCCACGTCCACGTCCGCGTCGACGTCCACGTCTACGTCCATGTCCACGTCCACGTCCATGTCCACGTCCACGTCCAAGTCCACGTCCATGTCCACGTCCATGTCCACGTCCACGTCCACGTCCACGTCCACGTCCATGTCCACGTCCATGTCCACGTCCACGTCCATGTCAACGTCCATGTCCACGTCCATGTCCACGTCCACGTCCATGTCCACGTCCACGTCCACGTCCACGTCCACGTCCACGTCCATGTCCACGTCCACGTCCACGTCCACGTCCATGTCCACGTCCATGTCCACGTCCAGGTCCAAGTCCACGTCCATGTCCACGTCCACGTCTACGTCCACGTCCACGTCCACGTCCACGTCCACGTCCATGTCCACGTCCACGTCCACGTCCACGTCCACCTCCATGTCCATGTCCACGTCCATGTCCACGTCCACGTCCACGTCCACGTCCATGTCCACGTCCACGTCCACGTCCACGTCCACGTCCACGTCCACGTCCACGTCCACGTCCATTTCTACGTCCACGTCCACGTCCACGTCCATGTCCACGTCCATGTCCACGTCCACGTCCACGTCCACGTCCACGTCTATGTCCACGTCCATGTCCACGTCCAGGTCCACGTCCACGTCCATTTCCACGTCCACGTCCACGTCCACGTCCACGTCCACGTCCATGTCCACGTCCACGTCCACGTCCACGTCCACGTCCACGTCCACGTCCACGTCCACGTCTACGTCCACGTCCACGTCCACGTCTACGTCCACGTCCATGTCCACGTCCACGTTCACGTCCATTTCTACGTCCACGTCCATGTCCACGTCCACGTCCATGTCCACGTCCACGTCCACGTCCATGTGCACGTCCACGTCCACGTCCATTTCTACGTCCTTGTCCATGTCCACGTCCACGTCCACGTCCACGTCCACGTCCACGTCCATTTCCAGGTCCACGTCCACGTCCACGTCCACGTCCATGTCCAGGTCCACGTCCACGTCCACGTCCACGTCTACGTCCACGTCCATGTCCACGTCCACGTCCACGTCCATGTCCACGTCCACGTCCACGTCCACGTCCACGTCCACGTCTCGTCCACGTCCAAGTCCACGTCCACGTCCATGTCCACGTCCATGTCCACGTCCATGTCCACGTCCACGTCCACGTCCACGTCCACGTCCATGTCCACGTCCACGTCCACGTCCATGTCCACGTCCATATCCACGTCCACGTCCACGTCCATGTCCACGTCCACGTCCATGTCCACGTCCACGTCCACGTCCATGTCCACGTCCACGTCCACGTCTACGTCCATGTCCACGTCCATGTCCACGTCCACGTCCAATTCCACGTCCATGTCCACGTCCACGTCTACGTCCATGTCCACGTCCATGTCCATGTCCAGGTTCAAGTCCACGTCCATGTCCACGTCCACGTCTACGTCCACGTCCACGTCCACGTCCACGTCCACGTCCATGTCCACGTCCACGTCCACGTCCACCTCCATATCCATGACCACGTCCATGTCCACGTCCACGTCCACGTCCACGTCCATTTCTACGTCCACGTCCACGTCCACGTCTACGTCCACGTCCATGTCCACGTCCATTTCTACGTCCACGTCCATGTCCACGTCCATTTCTACGTCCACGTCCACGTCCACGTCCATGTCCACGTCCATGTCCACGTCCACGTCCACGTCCACGTCCATTTCCACGTCCACGTCCACGTCCACGTCCATGTCCACGTCCATGTCCACGTCCACGTCCACGTCCACGTCTACGTCCACGTCCACGTCCACGTCTACGTCCACGTCCATGTCCACGTCCACGTTCACGTCCATTTCTACGTCCACGTCCATGTCCACGTCCACGTCCATGTCCACGTCCACGTCCACGTCCATGTGCACGTCCACGTCCACGTCCATTTCTACGTCCTTGTCCATGTCCACGTCCACCTCCACGTCCACGTCCACGTTGACATCCATTTCCAGGTCCACGTCCACGTCCACGTCCATGTCCAGGTCCACGTCCACGTCCACGTCCACGTCCACGTCCACGTCTAGGTCCACGTCCATGTCCACGTCCACGTCCACGTCCATGTCCACGTCCACGTCCACGTCCACGTCCACGTCTCGTCCACGTCCAAGTCCACGTCCACGTCCAAGTCCACGTCCATGTCCACGTCCATGTCCACGTCCACGTCCACGTCCACGTCCACGTCCACGTCTATGTCCACGTCCACGTCCATGTCCACGTCCATGTCCACGTCCATGTCCACGTCCACGTCCACGTCCATGTCCACGTCCACGTCCACGTCCACGTCCACGTCCACGTCCATGTCGACGTCCACGTCCACATCTACGTCCATGTCCACGTCCATGTCCACGTCCACGTCCAAGTCCACGTCCATGTCCACGTCCACGTCTACGTCCATGTCCACGTCCATGTCCACGTCCAGGTTCAAGTCCACGTCCATGTCCACGTCCACGTCTACGTCCACGTCCACGTCCACGTCCACGTCCACGTCCACGTCCATGTCCACGTCCACGTCCACGTCCATGTCCACCTCCATATCCATGACCACGTCCATGTCCACGTCCACGTCCATGTCCATGTCCACGTCCACGTCCACGTCCACGTCCATTTCTACGTCCACGTCCACGTCTACGTCCACGTCCATGTCCACGTCCACGTCCACGTCCATTTCTACGTCCACGTCCACGTCCAAGTCCATGTCCACGTCCACGTCCACGTCCACGTCCATTTCTACGTCCACGTCCACGTCCACGTCCATGTCCACGTCCATGTCCACGTCCACGTCCACGTCCACGTCCACGTCTACGTCCACGTCCACGTCTACGTCCACGTCCATGTCCACGTCCACGTCCATTTCTACGTCCACGTCCATGTCCACGTCCACGTCCATGTCCATGTCCACGTCCACGTCCATGTGCACGTCCACGTCCACGTCCATTTCTACGTCCTTGTCCATGTCCACGTCCACCTCCACGTCCACGTACACGTCTACGTCCACGTCCACGTCCACGTCCATGTCCACGTCCATGTCCACGTCCACGTCCACGTCCACGTCTACGTCCACGTCCACGTCTACGTCCACGTCCATGTCCACGTCCACGTCCACGTCCATTTCTACGTCCACGTCCATGTCCACGTCCACGTCCATGTCCACGTCCACGTCCACGTCCATGCGCACGTCCACGTCCACGTCCATTTCTACGTCCGGACGCATGCTTGTGTCCGGACGCATGCTTGTGTCCGGACGCATGCTTGTGTCCGGACGCATGCTTGTGTCCTGACGCATGCTTGTGTCCGGACGCATGCTTGTGTCCGGACGCATGCTTGCGTCCGGACGCATGCTTGGGTCCGGACGCATGCTTGTGTCCGGACGCATGCTTGTGTCCGGACGTATGCTTGTGTCCGGTCGCATGCTTGTGTCCGGACGCATGCTTGTGTCCAGACGCGTGCTTGTGTCCGGATGCATGCTTGGGTCCGGACGCATGCTTGTGTCCGGACGCATGCTTTTGTCCGTACGCATGCTTGTGTCCGGACGCATGCTTGGGTCCGGACGCATGCTTGTGTCCGGACGCATGCTTGGGTCCCGACGCATGCTTGGGTCCGGACGCATGCTTGTGTCCGGACGCATGCTTGTGTCCAAACGCATGCTTGTGTCCGGACGCATGCTTGTGTCCGGACGCATGCTTGAGTCCGGTCGCATGCTTGTGTCCGGACGCATGCTTGTGTCCGGACGCATGCTTGTGTACGGACGCATGCTTGTGTCCGGACGCATGCTTGTGTCCGGACGCATGCTTGAGTCCGGTCGCATGCTTGTGTCCGGACGCATGCTTGTGTCCGGACGCATGCTTGTGTCCGGACGCATGCTTGAGTACGGTCGCATGCTTGTGTCCGGACGCATGCTTGTGTCCGGACGAATGCTTGTGTCCGGACGCATGCTTGTGTCCGGACGCATGCTTGTGTCCAGATGCATGCTTGTGTCCGGACGCATGCTTGTGTCCGGACGCATGCTTGTGTCCGAACGCATGCTTGTGTCTGGTCGCATGCTTGTGTCCGACCGCATGCTCGAGTCCGGTCGCATGCTTGTGTCCGGTCGCATGCTTGTGTCCGGACGCATGCTTGTGTCCGGACGCATGCTTGTGTCCAGACGCATGCTTGTGTCCGGACGCATTCTTGTGTCCGGTCGCATGCTTGTGTCCGGATGCATGCTTGAGTCCGGACGCATGCTTGTGTCCGGACGCATCCTTGAGTCCGGTCGTATGCTTGTGTCCAGACGCATGCTTGTGTCCGGACGCATGCTTGTGTTTGGACGCATGCTTGTGCCCGATCGCATGCTTGTGTCCGGACGCATGCTTGTGTCCGGACGCATGCTTGTGTCAGGACGCATGCTTGTGTCCGGACGCATGCTTGTGTCCGGACGCATGCTTGTGTCCGGACGCATGCTTGTGTCCGGACGCATGCTTGTGTCCGGATGCATGCTTGTGTCCGGACGCATGCTTTTGTGCGTACGCATGCTTGTGTCCGGACGCATGCTTGTGTCCGGACGTATGCTTGTGTCCGGACGCATGATTGGGTCCGGACGCATGCTTGTGTCCGGACGCATGCTTGTGTCCGGACGCATGCTTGTATCCTGACGCATGCTTGTGTCCGGACGCATGCTTGTGTCCGGACGCATGCTTGTGTACGGACGCATGCTTGTGTCCGGACGCATGCTTGGGTCCGGACGCATGCTTGTGTCCGGACGCATGCTTGTGTCCGAACGCATGCTTGTGTCCGGTCGCATGCTTGTGTCCGGACGCATGCTTGTGTCCGGACGCATGCTTGTGTCCGGATGCATGCTTGTGTCCGGACGCATGCTTTTGTCCGTACGCATGCTTGTGTCCGGACGCATGCTTGTGTCCGGACACATGCTTGTGTCCGGACGCATGCTTGGGTCTGGACGCATGCTTGTGTCCGGACGCATGCTTGTGTCCGGACGCATGCTTGGGTCCGGACGCATGCTTGGGTCCGGACGCATGCTTGTGTCCGGACGCATGCTTGTGTCCGGACGCATGCTTGTATCCTGACGCATGCTTGTGTCCGGACGCATGCTTGTGTCCGGACGCATGCTTGTGTCCGGACGCATGCTTGTGTCCGGACGCATGCTTGAGTCCGGTCGCATGCTTGTGTCCGGACGCATGCTTGTGTCCGGACGCATGCTTGTGTCCGGACGCATGCTTGAGTACGGTCGCATGCTTGTGTCCGGACGCATGCTTGTGTCCGGACGAATGCTTGTGTCCGGACGCATGCTTGTGTCCGGACGCATGCTTGTGTCCAGATGCATGCTTGTGTCCGGACGCATGCTTGTGTCCGGACGCATGCTTGTGTCCGAACGCATGCTTGTGTCTGGTCGCATGCTTGTGTCCGACCGCATGCTCGAGTCCGGTCGCATGCTTGTGTCCGGTCGCATGCTTGTGTCCGGACGCATGCTTGTGTCCGGACGCATGCTTGTGTCCAGACGCATGCTTGTGTCCGGACGCATTCTTGTGTCCGGACGCATGCTTGTGTCCGGATGCATGCTTGAGTCCGGACGCATGCTTGTGTCCGGACGCATCCTTGAGTCCGGTCGTATGCTTGTGTCCAGACGCATGCTTGTGTCCGGACGCATGCTTGTGTTTGGACGCATGCTTGTGCCCGATCGCATGCTTGTGTCCGGACGCATGCTTGTGTCCGGACGCATGCTTGTGTCAGGACGCATGCTTGTGTCCGGACGCATGCTTGTGTCCGGACGCATGCTTGTGTCCGGACGCATGCTTGTGTCCGGACGCATGCTTGTGTCCGGATGCATGCTTGTGTCCGGACGCATGCTTTTGTGCGTACGCATGCTTGTGTCCGGACGCATGCTTGTGTCCGGACGCATGCTTGTGTCCGGACGCATGATTGGGTCCGGACGCATGCTTGTGTCCGGACGCATGCTTGTGTCCGGACGCATGCTTGTATCCTGACGCATGCTTGTGTCCGGACGCATGCTTGTGTCCGGACGCATGCTTGTGTACGGACGCATGCTTGTGTCCGGACGCATGCTTGGGTCCGGACGCATGCTTGTGTCCGGACGCATGCTTGTGTCCGAACGCATGCTTGTGTCCGGTCGCATGCTTGTGTCCGGACGCATGCTTGTGTCCGGACGCATGCTTGTGTCCGGATGCATGCTTGTGTCCGGACGCATGCTTTTGTCCGTACGCATGCTTGTGTCCGGACGCATGCTTGTGTCCGGACGCATGCTTGTGTCCGGACGCATGCTTGGGTCTGGACGCATGCTTGTGTCCGGACGCATGCTTGTGTCCGGACGCATGCTTGGGTCCGGACGCATGCTTGGGTCCGGACGCATGCTTGTGTCCGGACGCATGCTTGTGTCCGGACGCATGCTTGTATCCTGACGCATGCTTGTGTCCGGACGCATGCTTGTGTCCGGACGCATGCTTGTGTCCGGACGCATGCTTGTGTCCGGACGCATGCTTGGGTCCGGACGCATGCTTGTGTCCAGACGCATGCTTGTGTCCGGACGCATGCTTGTGTCCGGTCGCATGCTTGTGTCCGGACACATGCTTGTGTCCGGACGCATGCCTGTGTCCGGATGCATGCTTGTGTCCGGACGCATGCTTTTGTCCGTACGCATGCTTGTGTCCGGACGCATGCTTGTGTCCGGACGCATGCTTGTGTCCGGACGCATGCTTGAGTCCGGTCGCATGCTTGTGTCCGGACGCATGCTTGTGTCCGGACGCATGCTTGTGTCCGGACGCATGCTTGTGTCCGGACGCATGCTTGTGTCCGGACGCATGCTTGAGTCCGGTCGCATGCTTGTGTCCGGACGCATGCTTGTGTCCGGTCGCATGCTTGTGTCCGGACGCATGCTTGTGTCCGGACGCATGCTTGTGTCCGGACGCATGCTTGTGTCCGGACGCATGCTTGTGTCTGGACGCATGCTTGTGTCCGGACGCATGCTTGTGTCCGGACGCATGCTTGTGTCCGGACGCATGCTTGTGTCCGGACGCATGCTTGGGTCCGGACGCATGCTTGTGTCCGGACGCATGCTTGTGTCCGGACGCATGCTTGTGTCCGGTCGCATGCTTGTGTCTGGACACATGCTTGTGTCCGGACGCATGCTTGTGTCCGGATGCATGCTTGTGTCCGGACGCATGCTTTTGTCCGTACGCATGCTTGTGTCCGGACGCATGCTTGTGTCCGGACGCATGCTTGTGTCCGGACGCATGCTTGTGTCCGGACGCATCCTTGAGTCCGGTCGTATGCTTGTGTCCAGACGCATGCTTGTGTCCGGACGCATGCTTGTGTTTGGACGCATGCTTGTGCCCGATCGCATGCTTGTGTCCGGACGCATGCTTGTGTCCGGACGCATGCTTGTGTCAGGACGCATGCTTGTGTCCGGACGCATGCTTGTGTCCGGACGCATGCTTGTGTCCGGACGCATGCTTGTGTCCGGACGCATGCTTGTGTCCGGATGCATGCTTGTGTCCGGACGCATGCTTTTGTGCGTACGCATGCTTGTGTCCCGACGCATGCTTGTGTCCGGACGCATGCTTGTGTCCGGACGCATGATTGGGTCCGGACGCATGCTTGTGTCCGGACGCATGCTTGTGTCCGGACGCATGCTTGTATCCTGACGCATGCTTGTGTCCGGACGCATGCTTGTGTCCGGACGCATGCTTGTGTACGGACGCATGCTTGTGTCCGGACGCATGCTTGGGTCCGGACGCATGCTTGTGTCCAGACGCATGCTTGTGTCCGAACGCATGCTTGTGTCCGGTCGCATGCTTGTGTCCGGACGCATGCTTGTGTCCGGACGCATGCTTGTGTCCGGATGCATGCTTGTGTCCGGACGCATGCTTTTGTCCGTACGCATGCTTGTGTCCGGACGCATGCTTGTGTCCGGACGCATGCTTGTGTCCGGACGCATGCTTGGGTCTGGACGCATGCTTGTGTCCGGACGCATGCTTGTGTCCGGACGCATGCTTGGGTCCGGACGCATGCTTGGGTCCGGACGCATGCTTGTGTCCGGACGCATGCTTGTGTCCGGACGCATGCTTGTATCCTGACGCATGCTTGTGTCCGGACGCATGCTTGTGTCCGGACGCATGCTTGAGTCCGGTCGCATGCTTGTGTCCGGACGCATGCTTGTGTCCGGTCGCATGCTTGTGTCCGGAC